AAACTAATCTTACTGCTAAGCAGTGTGTTGTACTGTATAGTGAATGTGTTTTGAAATTTAAGAATTATTTAAAGTAATAGTGTCATGAATGATTTAAAAATGTTTGGTGACTTGCTTATTTTAAGTGATCACCATTAAGTCAGAAAAATGTATTTTTAAATGATTTTAAAAGTGCCTTTTGAAAATTTTTAAACAATGGATTTAAACTACATGAAATAAATTACCATGTTCAAAATCATTTCGTCTCATTATTTTTAACCAATGTAAAAGTTATGGGATAAATATTTTGTGAGTTTTTTTCTTTTTGGAGGGGGGTGTCCTGAAGTTTTTCACATTTAATATATATTATTCACTTTAAGGCAAAAAAAAAAAAAAAAACCCAAAACCCTCTACCTCTGTCTTAAAATAGTATACCTGATATACCTTAAAGAATTAGAATGCTTTTTTGTAGTCCATATTGGTTCATGTACACTGAAAAATCCATTTATTCAACAAATAATGGATTTGCTAGAAATGCATTGGCAAGCAAGACATACAGGATCTCTGTTCTCAAAGTAAATTCTAGAGTTAGAATATATCAATAAATGTGTGGACAGGGTATTTCAGACAGTGGTGTCAGTAAGCTAAAGTGATAGAAAAGCATTTTTCTGGGTAAGACCTCAAAGAAGACCCAAGAAAGTAACTCAGATTTGAGCTGAAACCTGAATATCAGACATTTTTTTACACTTCAGAAATTTTTTATATTTATAAGAATCTTTGCCCTAGTAAAAAATGTTTCCACCTTCACTTAATCATATTTTGGACATGTAATCTGTAAGGCCAAAAAACTTGGTGTTTTTAAGTATATTTCATGAAGAGCTCAGGTCTGTTGATATTAAATCTGGCTAGGAATTATGGGATATGAGTTAAAATTGAACTGTATTTCCTAGGCATAGAATTATTCAGATGTTCATAAGGCCTTTATGTGTAGCCTGTTTGCCTCAGTTATCAGTAATTGCTACCCAATATGTTGTTATTAGCACACATGTATATACATGTGTGTAAACATGGATTAGCTTTAGAAAAGCTAAGGAGGTAAATGTCAC